CTGGCCGGAGCCGGTGCCCGGGCCCGGCGACTCGGGGGCGGCGTGGCCCTCGCAGGGGGGGAGAGCTCCCTCCCCCCCGTCCGGTGACCAGAGGGAAGGCGGGGGAGGGGAGGCGGAGGAACAGGAGGAGAGGAGGAGGAGGGAGGAGGAGGAGGAGGAGGAGGAGGAGGAGGAGGAGGAGGAGGGAGGAGGAGGAGGAGGAGGAGGAGGAGGAGGAGGAGGAGGAGGAGGAGGAGGAGGGAGGAGGAGGGAGGAGGAGGAGGAGGAGGAGGAGGAGGGAGGAAGGAAGCGGGCAAGGGGCGAGGAGGAACATGTCGCCGTGGTCATCGTCGTCCTCGTCCCCGTCCTCCTTCCCCGGCCTTCTCTCCCGTCATCATCCATTCTGCCCTCCTCCTCCCTCATCGTGCTTTTCTCCGTCGTCGTCCCCCTCCTCCCCCTCCTCCCAAATCATTATCCTCGTTCTCATGGTCCTCCTCCTTCGCCTCTTCGTTCTCCTCTTCCTCGTGCTCTTTCTCCGTTTCCGCCTCCTGTTCCTCCTCGCCGTCCTTCCTTCTCCTGCTCCTGCTCCTGCTCCTCCTCGTCCTCCTCCTCCTCCTGGTCCACCACCTGTGCTTGTCAATGACGCCTTCCTGTCGAACCAGCAGAAATGCCGCTTGGGCGGGCTGCAGGCGTTTCGCCTGCGATTTCTCCGCCATCTACGGTATTGGAAAAGCTTGGGGCTTCCAGGCGCCACACGGACGGAGGGCGAATTGTTTTCAGCATGAGCCTCTCTACTTAGCGCCGCGTGCACTCGTCTTTACACATTCCACACTTACACGGATGACGGCGAATTGCATTCAAAATGGGGCTCTCGCCTTGTCGGCGCGAACACTTGTCTTAAGCAGGTGCACCAAAAATGCGGATGGATGGCTTTCAAAGTGGGGAGCTCGCCACAGACTTCCTTACACCGTGTGGCACCACACGCATAACATCGTGCAACCGATTCAGGGATGGAGCCAGTGCTTTTCAACGCGGTGCTCTCGTTTGAGACTTCTGCAGCCTGTCCTATCAGTCCGCGGGTGGGGGGTGTCCCTCTCAAAGCTGGAGCGTCGCTGGGAAGCCCCGTGAGTTTCGCGACCCCGTCTTGTCGCATGCCACACAGCTCGAAAGACGGAGGGCATCTGCTCTTTCAAAACGGGACCGCCGCCTCCTCCTCATCCTCCTCCTCCTCCTCCTCCCCCCTCCTCCCTCCCTCCTTCCTCCTCCCTCCTCCCTCCTCCCTCTCCTCCTCCTCCCTCCTCCTCCCTCCTCCCTCCTCCCTCCTCCTCCTCCTCCTCCTCCTCCTTCTCCTCCTTCTCCCTCCTCCTCCTCCTCCTCCTCCCTCCTCATCCTCCGCCTCCTCATCCTCGCTCCTCCCTCCTCCCTCCTCCCTCCTCCCTCCGGGTTGGATCCTCGTGAGGTCCCGTGCGCCACCCTCCCCGCCAGGCTCGAATACCAGGAGCACGCAAAAGCGAAGCCCAGCGTTGAACAACAACCTCTCTCCGGGCCCGTGCAGCGCTGGTCTCTCAAGAGGAGGGGACGCTCCGCGCAGTTTCAAGACAGGTGCTCGCAGGGGCGAGCGGGGAAGGGGGCGTGGGGCGGGAGGGCGTGCTGCGGAATCGATGAATGCATCTTGGGTTCACGCTGGTCCCTGCCTTCCTCGCCGTCTACCTCCAGCTCCTCCGTGAGCCTAAATGGATGAGGAAGGCATCAGGCTGACCCTCGGGGCCCCACTCTTCTCATCCTCCTTCTTTCTCTTCCAAATATTGTTATTATCATTATTGTTTCTCCTCCTCCTGTTCCCTACCTTCCCCCCCTTCCTGCAGCGTTTCGCCCACGACACTCGAGGTTAAGGAGCTGGTTCAAGGATGTTGCCGAGTTGTTGGGCGTTGTTGTCCCCTTCTCCTCCTCCTCATCCTCCTGATCCTGCTCATCCTCATCCTCTTCATTCTCTCCTCCTCCTCCTCCTCCTCCCCCTCCTCCTCCCCCTCCCCCTCCCCCTCCACCGCGCGAGTCTTTCGTCTTGCAAGCGTGCAGATATTTCCCTCCGCGAGACGGGAACGCATCAGCGTGCGCCACTGAGCCCGTGTGTCCGCAAGCTGCCTGAAATTGGGAGGTGACGCATCCTCAAGCCAGCGACGCGCTCGCATCCCACCTCTGATGCTGACCCCGCTGCCCCTGGAACATTATATACGGGGGCCCCCCCTCGGCCTTTGAAGCTCTGCATTGTTTGAGCCCGAAGAGGGCTCCGAAAGGATCATCCCCCCGGCTACGACGCACTGTCCCACTCGGCACATGGGCCAAGCCGTGCTGTCGTGGGAGGAGAGCTGGCGACGGCTGCGGTGGCAGCGGTGGCGGCGACAGCGACAGCGGCGGCGATGACAGGCAGAAAGAGAGAGAGAGAGAGAGAGAGAAAACATAACAAAACAAAAAAAGATTGCTGGCCGTGGGCTGGAGCAGCTTCTGGACCTCAGCGCCCCCCCCCCCCGAACCGAGCCAGGCTGACCTATGGCCTGCTCATCCGGATTGCGATCCTGATCATCCTCTCGGCTCCCATATCTGCCTGCCTCGTCCCATCGGCTTCGAAAATCCCTCTCTAGAGAGATCGCCGATACGGTTGACTCCCCTCAAGTGGGCGGTCAGGAAAGCAGCTCATCCAGCTGTGGCTGGTCAGCTCCCCCCCACGACCTACATCGATCGAAGGATCAGCGATCCGCGTTCGACTGACCGCGATGGATCGAGTCCCGCTCGAAGGAGCCCTGGCCGATCGAACTTCGCCCCAGACCAGCAGATCTCGGCGGCGCGCAACAAGGAGGGCAAGGTGTGTGGGGCGGTCCCGCTAAGGAGAGGCAGATGGGGCTTCCTGGAGTGCACGTCGGCGGTCCATAGATGAGGCCCGGAGGGGGAGGAGGAGGAGGAGGAGGAGGAGGAGGAGGAGGAGGAGGAGGAGGAGGAGAAGGAGGAGGAGAAGGAGGAGGAGGAGAAGGAGGAGGATAAGGAGGAGAGGAAGGAGCATGAGGAGGAAAAGGAGGAGGAGGAGGAGGAGGAGGAGGAGGAGGAGGATAGTGAAGAGGAGGGAAGAGGAGGAGGGGGGGGTCCCTCAGGACGAGTTTGTTCAAGCGGTGAAGCTTCGGATGGGGATCCCTTTCCTATCCGTCCGAACCTCCGAACGTGAGCCCGTGTAAGAATTCCCCCCACGCCTGGCGAGTTTGCAAAGAGAAAGCAAGCGGCATAAACATGTTAGCCGTCATGGACTGCGAACGCTGTGTTTTTAGCCATCTTATTGCGCAACCCCCGTGGAACATTGAACATTATACTTGGTGCCATCATCGCGGTGTTATCTACGTGGTTCAACTCACTTTCCGAAATTACACGTGACAGCTCCACTTCTCGCGCAATCAACCCCCCACCCACCCGCAACTAGGTTTGCAAAACACATGCGGTAGCGATTGCGATGAGTGCTGGGTGTTGGCTGGTGCACCTCTGCGGCCGCGTTAGCCCGCGCATGCTCGCGCGCGCAGCGGCCAGGTAGTTTGGCGCGACCGACGCGAACGCGGTGACCCTGACCGCTCGGCACATCCCAGCGGGCACTTCACTGCGAGTTGGCGACTTGGGCGGGAGCGGTATCATGGCAACGTCGACAATGATAGACACGATGATGAAAGTCGCAATGTTGGTGACCATGCTGACAGCGACGACGGGGCAGCCAGTGACGGTGCCGATGCTGATCATGCCGACGACGATGACGGCGTCTTCGCGTCGGTGTTGAAGGTTTTGGAAGGAATTTGACAATTTTCGAAATGCGCGCGGCAGACGCGCAAGAGTGGCTCGCATGGTATCATTCGACACGGATCGTGCCGCCCCAGCACGCGCGCAAAGGCGTTCGAACGATTTTGACATGCGCGCGCGAAGCCCGTTTGGTAGCATTTTATGAAAATGTTGGAACACGTGTGGCTTTCTTCAGAATTCGCAAGAGCGGGCGCACGCTTTTGTTGAACATCCGTATTGCGAAACCCTGTGATTTAAACTGTTGTTTGGGCACTCGATTTTGAAATCCCTTCGAACCCGAAAGTGTTTTAAGGATTTCGGCATGCGCGCGCGACGACGCGCGCGTGTGCACGTCGCCCCATTTTTTGCAAGGGACTCTCGAAAACTTAGAATTTGTGATAAACGAACGCGCGCGCATAGTATTTCTCGCAAGGGAACCAAGGGGGGGACCGATACCAGCCTGGCTGGGATAGTATGAACTCATGCGTAAGATGGGCATGGGTCACAATCATAGGTGTTTTGCATAGGTTCCCGGTGAATGGATAAGCCCTGGGGGGGGGGTAGAACATATCTTTTAAAACAATACAGGAGACGATTTTCCTCCAGCAAAGCACCACGCGTGATATTGCGAATCAAACTGTCGCATGGCAAGCAGGGAACACCGCACAATCCGACCTACAAGCGGCAAACTCATGCTATGAACCGCGGCGTGAACAACAATTCGACAATGCAGCTGCGGCAGGAGGGGGGAAGAACAACGAAGACAAAGGAAGAGGAGAGGGAGGAGAAGGGAGGAACACACCGTCGCGTTGTGCGGGCCTCCCCGATGGTTCAGCCAGCCATTCGTATAACACACACAACAGGTGTAGTCTATGTGGTGCAACATTTGTTGTGCAATACATGTGGGGCACTCTATGTGGCGCAATTTTTATTCTTAATAAAAAACGAGTTGACAAAGTCCATGCTCGCGCACTCATTCCACCCACCCGCCCGCAACCTGGTTTGCAAAACCCATGCGGCGGCGATTGCGATGAGTGCTGGGTGTGGGCTGGTGCGCCTCTGCGGCCGCGCTAGCCCGCGCATGCTCGCGCCCGCAGCGGCCAGCTAGTTTGGCGCGACCGACGCGGGCGCGGTATCATGGCAACGTCGACAAAGTTAGACGCGATGGTGATGGTAGCGATGTTGGTGACGATGATGGCAACGACGACGGTAAGGCCAGTCACGGCGCCGATGCTGATCACGCCGACGACGACGACGACAACGACGACGACGACGACGACGACGACGACGACGACGACGACGACGGCGTCCTCCCGTCGGTGATGGAGATTTTGGAAAAAGTTCGACATGAGCGCGCGGCCGACTCGCGAGAGCGGCTCGCATGGTATCATTTGACACGGATCGTGCCCCCCGCCAGCACGCGCGCAAGGGCGTTCGAATGAGTTCGACGTGCGGCGTGAGTGGCTCGTTTTGCAGAATGTCATGAACATGTTGAAAAAAACGATGGTTCCCTCAAGAGTTCACAGGGGCGCGAGCGCAAGCATTCTTGAAAACTGATGGTGCAAAACCATGCTTACACTCGGTCTCGAAATCCCTACGGAACGCAAGGATGTTGAAGGATTCCGGCATGCGCGCGCGACGACGCGCGCGTGTGCACTTCGTGCAATTGTTTGCACGGGATTATTGAAAAGGTGTTGATTTTCGACAAACGAATGCGCGCGCAAAACATCTTTTGCAGATGATGAGGGGGGGGGGAGGCGATGCCGGCCTGTCTGGGATGGTATGAGTTCACAGCTCGGATGGACGATGGGGCAGAATCGTACGTAACTTGCAATACGAACAAGGGAACCGTTCATTCCGAGGGCAGAAATAGATCCTGACACACCCGCAGAAAAGAAAATCGATGCGGGGACGGTCAATCCCAGATGATGGGCAGCCACGGGGCGGCGACGGCGACAACATGGCCGCCAGATCGCCACACGGGCCCCGACGACCGACTGGCGACGAGGCGGCGGCGAGGCAGCGACGGCGACAACATAGCCGCCAGACCGCCAGACAGGCAAAGTTCCTCGAACACATCTAAGAAACCCTGAGTGAAAGCACTGTTTGGGGAATGCTCGAAGAGGCTGGTGGCGTTCATAAGACTCGGAAGATGTAAAAGGCTCAAGCTTCGGGGGCTCGAGCTTACATGGCGGGGCTGTAGGAAAAATGGCGCGGCCCAGTCTGAAATTTGACCAGGACGCAAGGATCTCACCCAAACTGGGCCGCCAAAACTCAATGCTCGGGGAACCCGAGCTGTGGCAAACCCGAGCTCTCGCGCTTCCCCGCTGGAAGGCGGCCCCCACCGCGGGGGATCAGCGGCCCACGCGTCAGCCCTGCACCCTCGAACCCCGATCGGCGGACCCAAAGCCCCCCCGCGTTCGGGCCGTCGCGGATGGGGGCTGCCGGCCGCAGCGGCGCCGCCGCGCCTCCGCGGAGAGACGCCGCGCCCCCCCCAGGGCGACGTCGGGCTGCCAGCGTGGGCCGGCGGATCCGCCGATCGGGCCGGGCGCGCATCGGCAGACCGGCCCGCCGAGCGCGGGCCCGAGCGGCGACCCTCGGGCGCGGCCGAGCAGAGCCCCTCCGTTGCGACGGGCCCCCTCCGCGCCGAGGCCCTCGCCCCCGAGCCCTTTCCGCGACGGGGCCCCGAGGGGTCCGCCACGGGGCCCCGTGGGGCGGGGACCTTCGCGTGGCCAGCACGCTGGCGCACCCAAGAAAACGGCGGCCGCGCGTCGAACGCAGGGCAACACGGCCAAGCACTCCTCCTCCTCCTCCTCCTCCTCCTCTTCTTCCTCCTCGTCCTCGTCCTCGTTCTTCTCCCCCTCCTCCCCCTTCTTCTCCTCCTCTCCTCCTCCTCCTCCTCCTCCTCCTCCTACCTTCCTCCCTCCTCTACATCCTCTCCTCCTTCTCCTCGCTCCTCGTCCTCGTTCCTTCTCTCCTTCTCCCCCTTCTCCCCCATCCTTTCCCCCCCTCCTCCTACTCCTCTCCTCCGCCTCCTCCTCCTCCTCCTGCTCCCTCCTCGTCCTCGGCTCGTTCTCATCCCCCTCAGCCCCCATTCTCCCATCCTTCCCCTTCTCCTCCTCCTCCTCCTCCTCCTCCTCCTCCTCCTCCTCCTCCTCCTCCTCCTAGCCATTCCTGGCTTCAGGAGCCATCCGCGGGCGCACTTGGGCGGGGCGCAGCCCGCGGGAGCCGCGATGCGATGGGGAGGCACGGCAGCTGCAGAAAGGGGCCCCATGACGACGGGTTCGAGTCGAGAGGGCGGCGACGAGCATGCTCCACGTTGCACTCGGGGCGGCGGAGCATGCGTCGGTCAGGGCCGCGCTGGACGCTACCCGCCCGCAGCCGGCAGCGCTCGAGCCGCCGCGGGCCAGGGTCAGGCCGTCAGGGAGGCCCTCTCCGCGGCCCTCGACGGCGCCCGAACAGCAGCTGGCGCTGCAAGACCTCGAGAGGCCTCCCAGCCTCGCGCCGCCACCTGGCGTGTGGGAGCTGCCTGCGAGGCTGACGGCGAGGAGGGCCCGCAGCCATCCTCCTGGCGCAGCAGCTGCGTCCGGCGATGGGCAGGAGATGCAGAGCAGCTGCGCCAAGAAGGACAAGAAGGTCAGGAAAGACAAGACAGACAATCACTACAAGGAGCACAACAGGAAGGACAAGAAGGAGAAGAAGCAGCATCGCCACCCGAGGACCTACGAGTCAGCGCAGTGGGCTATCTGTCGGCAGAGGAGATGTCCAAGCTCTTGCTGTGGAGGTCGAGTGGCTTGGCGGAGGAGACGGAGAAGGTAGACACGCACTTCTTCTACATCGGCGACGACAAAGATGCGGCGCAGATGAAGGACGACACCGACGTGGAGGAGGAGATGACCCTGAGTGCGAGATCCGAGGTGCTGGAATCGGGATCCGCATTGCAGTTCAAGCAGGACAGGCTTAAACAATAATATATGTTCAAGAAGGGGTACGGGTTCGTCGGCAGCGCGGATGGCGGCGGCGACATTTTCGTGCACATCAATAATAATCCGAACCTGGGCAGCATCAAGATGGGTGCAGCAGTTCATGTGAGGGTTGTGGAGTCTGCTGGTGTCAGGCGCTATGGCGTGGAGCTGACTATGGCGGAGGGGGTAACAGGCCATCGACGTTACAACATATCCAGCGTTTTTGCTGGCAATGAGCAGAAGCTGGAGGACGAGACTGCTGGCACCAAGCGCTTCGGCGTGGAGTTGGCGTTGGCAGAGGAGGCCCGGCATCGGCCAGAGAAGCATCAACGAGTGCTGCGACTACGGCGGCGTCGACTGCGTCGACTTCTTGCGGAAACGGTGGTATGGGCTCCAGCGAGGAACTGACGTTCATCTTCCGGGAGCTTGTGCAGCTCATGTGGGACGGCTTCTTCGACGGCCTTGACTTCCGCAAGGCATGCGAAGTTGGAGGACTTCAAGAGCCGGTTCGCACAGCAGGCCGGGGAGGAGGAGCCGAGCCAGGAGCAGAAGAGGGCCGAGGCCTGAGGAGGTGGCCGCTGGGGGGGGAGTCGTCTCCTGTCTGCGGGGTCGCGGTCCCCTGGGGCGGAGGAGGAGGAGGAGTAGGAGGAAGAGAAAGAGGAAGAGGAAGACGAGGAGGAGGTGGGGGAG